GGGGGGAAGGTGGCGGGAGGACCTGGGACAGGCCCCGGCCCTTTGCGTGCCACGTGCACGACGTCGGCGTCAGTGCCGCCGCCACCTTCACGCTTTCCCGCCTTCCGGTGCGCCTGCTGGGCGGGGCCGCGTCAGTGTCGTCAGCGCCCGGGGGCCAGTTTACGTAGCCACTCCCACTACGCGCTGCCTAGGCGGAGCCTCAGCCGCCACCTCCTCGGAGCCGCGTGAAGCCTATGGGCTCCTCGAAGGGGGCCACTAGAAGTCGGTGCCTGCCTGCTGCTGTTCCACATCCTGGGGCAGGGTGGGCTTGGAGGAAGCGGGGAGCAGTTGCAGAAAGCTGTCTGCTGCTGTGGGTGTTGCCACGTGGGAGCAGGCATGGAACTGTCCCGAAGGCCCCAGCCACCAGCTCGTCCTTAAAACACGGCAAAGACCCTGGTGGTGGCGCCTTCCTAAGGTGGCATCAAGTACTAAATGGTGTCTTGCCGGGGTTTGGGATTGTATCCAGGAGTGTTTCGTTTGTATTTATCTTTAGCCTTCCGCCAAAGTGCGAACTATTTTTTAGCTACATGTGCGTTACGCCTATACTTTCTATTGATATACACAAGTTGGGGCGGCACTGGGGTTTGAATTCTGCCTCCTGCTTGATGCACAGGTGCTCTAGTCCTGTCGCCGTAGGTAGATTTCTTTGAGGCATACTCTAAGTGAGTTTTAATAAACGCAGGGAGAGGAACAACAGCTAGGTGCACTGGAGGTGGGAGATGGAAGTTCTCGGATTTAAGGCCAGCCCCAGACTCATTGAGAGACCCTGACGTAAAAGTAGAACAGAAAATCCGAACTTGACCAAGGATAATTATATGTTGTGCATTAAATATTCTCTCCATTCTAGCAGTAAAGAAAAGGAATTTATATATCATTTACATTATGATAGAGGCATTAAAAGGTTAAAATTACATCATGTACATAATGTAATAGTGTAACTTTCAATACGAGTTATGAATTATTATTGGTGTTTTTCCTCTTCGTTATTATAAGATTATATTTCTCACTTGAAAATTAAGAAAATAGAGCTCTACCTTAATCTCAGCTTTTGCTTGGGATGGAAGGGGGTGAATATATACATACTTCCTGTTATTTCTACATATAGATAGCCAAGTACTTTTTAATGGTTCCATGATGTATGTTTTTTCACAACTTACGACTAATGTAGCTTGGATTATCCAAAGATGTTTTTAAATAATTTAGAAAAGACAATATAAAATAGTGTACCATTACATATTTTACCAAATTTCCTTCTGATGAACAATTTTCAATATCAAAATAAATACTATAGTGCATATTTGTTTATAAATATTTTGAAATGCTTATGCTTTTAAGATAATTTGCCAGAAGTAGAAGTGCTGGATAAAAGTGTTGTTTAACCTTTTTACATTTTAAGTTTTTCCAAGGTAGTTGAGTTAAATCTTGTACCAGTTTATTTTTCTACCTAACAGTGCAGAGAAATGTTTTCTCCAACCCCTTTCTAATGAGAGGTATTAAAATATTTGAAGTTATCAACAACTGGAGAGTATTTCACTTACGTTAATAGGAAATTTCAAATTTTGTGTTTCTGGTAGATTTTTTTAAATTAGAAAATAAAGCTGTAGGGCTGGGAAGGTGGATCAGTGGTAGAGCGCTTGCCTTGCATGCATGAGGTCCTGGGTTCGATTCCTCAGCACCACGTAATCAAAAAGAAAAAAGCCAGAAGTGGCGTGTGGCTCAAGTGGTAGAACACTAGCCTTGAGCTGAAGAGCTGAGGGACAGTGCCCAGGCCCAGAGTTCAGGCCCCACAACCAGACCCAAAAAAAAAAAGAAAAGAAAAGAAAGCTGTATTTTTTCAACTGCTTTCTCAATGATAAAGTACCAGAATTCCTAATAATGAACCATCTTTGCATTTTAATATATTGCTAAGACTTTGCATCTCTGAAAATGGGCAAGGGTTTGTGCCATTTTGAGGCTTTATTTAGATGATGTTAATCATCTTTTTTTTAAAGCAGTCCTGGGGTTTGAGTTAAGAGCATTGGGCTTGCTAGGCAAACACTATCACTTTAACCACATTCCCACGCCTTCTAAAAACTTCAAGGAAAATCTTAAACTATCTTTCTCCTGTGCCTCTCTTATGATGTGTATAAACCTCGTTATCTGTTATTTTACTATTTAAAGCCAGTAAAACTGATCCAGGCCATGAGTGTTGTAATCTTTTTTTTTTTTTTTGGTCAGATGTGGGACTTGAACTCAGGGTCTTGGCACGGTCCCTAAGCTTTTTTGCTCAAGGCTTTCTACCACTTTGAGGTCTTTTGAGTGCTTAATTGGAAATAAGAGTCTCTTAGCCTCCTAGGATTAGAGGTATAAACTGCCATCTGAATGTTCTAATCTTAGGAATACTTGTATAGTTGGGTGCAGGTGACTCATACCTGTAATCCTGGTTACTCTGTAGGCTGAGATATGAGGAGAAAAGGTTCAAAGCAAGTTCAGGCAGTGAGTCTGTGAGACTGTTAACTCCAACTAACCTGCAAAAACCTGGAAGTGGAGCTATGGCCTAAAAAAGAGAGTGTAAGCCTTGAGCAAAAAAAAGCTAGGGTCAGTGCCCAATCCCAAAGTTCAAGCCCCAGGATTGGCATTGGCATGTTTGTGAAGATTTACATTTATCTAGAAAGTAAACTAATTGTTTTAGATTATCAGAAACATTCCAACAGAGTTTAAATATAACATTCTTACCATCTGTGGTCATACTCCTATTATTGTGTTTAATACTCCTTTTGATTAAAATTTTTATTACCTTATTTTTTATGCATTTTTATTCTTCCTTATTAATCTTGCAAGATTACTGTATTGCTTGGATACCCCTAAACTGAGAGTCCATTCTTGGGTTTACTTTTTTTTAATTTTTATTTTGTATTTTCTTAATTTTAGCCTTTATTTTGGTATAATTTTTCCTATTGCTATGGATTCATTTTGATGACTACAAATTACAGGCCTTTTCTGGCCAGTATATATAGATCTCAAGTTTTACTATAGAGAATTTTTATATCATGGCCTCCAAGCTCACTCCTATTTTTTATCCTAATATTTCTTGTTACAAAAATCTACCAATCCATCTGAAATATAATAAAAATAATTTCATATTATGTTTAATGCAGATTCTTTTCAGTATGATATCAATAGCTAGGATTATACTTTCTAGTCAGGCACAGTGGTGCACACCTATAATCCCAAATACTTAGGAGGCTGAGGCAGGAGAAGGATCAGTGGAGCACAGCAGTTCTAGGCTAGCCTAGAACTGGCCAGCTGGGCCACTGGTGGCTAATGTTTGTAATCCTAGCTACTCAGGAATCTGTGTGATTCATTTCCAATCAACAACCAGAAAGCCAAAAGTGGTGCTGTAGCTCAGAGGCTTGCAGAGCACTTAGCCTTGAGCAAAGAGCTCAAGTTCTGAATTGAAGCCCCAGACTAAAACCAAAAAGAAAAACGCCTAGCCTGAGCATTCATTTGTAGAGTGGTTTTGACCATAGTTTCAAAGCACTAAAGATTGCCCACCAATCGTGGGCATTTTTATGTAATTACTAGACAAAGTATAAACAGTAGTTTAAAAATTCCTACTATTGAAGTCTTCTGAAAAATGGAGCATTTTTCTTTGTTAGCTTTGAGCGCCACCTGGTGAATAGGGCCTAGAACATAGTGATGCCTGCCTTAAGATGTTATATTACACTATTAAAGTGAATTAATTTTACTTATATTTACTGTCCCACTTAACCAGACAGCTGATTCGAAAGACCTAATCCCAAGTTAGAATTTCTATTTCCACCTTACTAAATTGCCTCAAATGTCCATTTTTATAAATAGAATATACTAACTTATAGGACAACAGAAATCTCTTCTAACCGTTTCATTGTTCAAATAATAGAAATTGAGAACCCAAAAAGACTTATTCATGTTTCAACAGTATCTTTCAACAATAATGTTCCTCTTCAATTCTGGTGACGTTATAAGATTTTTCAGCTACATCCTTATTCAAATGTTTGGGAGGAGTAATTCTTTGTTGTTGGGGGCTGTCATTTGCAGGCTATTTAGTGATATCCCTGATCTTCTACCTGGCTAGCGCCTGGCATATTTTAAATGCCTGTGTGGCACAAAATCTTTTCTCATTGAAAATTAGTGCCTAATTTTCACTAATGATTTTCTACCTGGATGTTACACCTCTAGAAAACATTGATACATTATGGTGCAGACACTAATAATACAAATTTATCAAATAAAATTGTATCCAAAGCTTATCTATAAATGGAAGATTGATGAGAAAGAAGGAAGTTAGAAACACTGCTTTGGTGTATGTTGAGAAGGGAGTGTTACTGGAGATTGAATTCTAGGAGTCTCTGGCTTGCTAGGCAAACATTCTAACCATTTGAGCCACACCCAATCCATTGACATTTAATTTGTTTACAAGTAGGGTTTTAACTTTTTTGTACCAGCCAGATTGGGACTGTGATTCTCCTATTTCTATCTCCTCATAGCTAGGATTATAGGTATGCATCAGCTTTTGTATTCTGGATTTTTAAATGAATTAATTGACATAAGGTTGATTATTTATAAGGAAATATAGTCAAATTTCAATAGTCCAAAACAGTTTAATATAGTCACAATTAGAAAAAATGGAATTATAAGACTTTTGAAGGAAAAACTTTTTTGAAATGATTTTTTTACTCTGGCACTTCTTTATCATGAAATATCACAGTATCATAGTTAAAGGAAGGAATACAGAAATAGTAAAAGAGAAACAGAACATTAAATGTAAGCCAAAATAAATAAAGAAAAACAAAAAGACCCTCAACTTTAGTGACTTGACAATTTTGTTTTCATTTATAAAATTGCTCTGGTAATCTTTTTTGTTTTTAAACATACAGGTTTTGTCTTTGGGTTCCCCCTCTTTCTTAAACAAGACTACACAATAGCCTTTTCATTCTCTTGCAGCTTTATTTACCTCTTACAGTCAATTACTTCATGAACTAAATAGGTGTTTCATAAGGCAGTTTCTTGAAATTTTATTAAACTGATACAAAATAAGTATTAAATCTAGAAAAGAAAATTATTGAATGTAAATTCAAATAACAGGACACTTCATTAACATATTACTTCATGAGTTCACTTTAATTTCTTAATTTATCCAGAGATAACACATCTGGCAAGTGTGTGGCTTATAACCTAGTAAGGTACATGAATCTAGACTAGATTAAAACACTTAATGTTTCATTGTGCTATTATTATCTCTCCAACATATATGTTACCAGTAAATTATGCTTTAGAAAAATTCACTATTAATTTTAGAGTCTTGTATGTGAAGACTAAAAGCAGTTCAGAACAAGAAAATAGTTATAGGTATGGTTTTCTTTATCTGAAAATAAAGATGGTATGATATCATTCATATCAACTCACTGTGAAAATTAGAACTGTCAATAGGAATGCTTTGGGGTTACTTAGGAAGAAAGTGTTATTACAGAACATGTTTTGAACACCAGAACATTAGGGACAAGTATTATAATACTCTTTTTATGAGGAACCTGTGATATGTAAGCAATTAAGGTTTTCCCAGTCCATTTTTAAAGTAAAAAGAGTACTAACAATACTAAAGTTGTAAAACTCATGTGAATTTTGATGAATAAAAAGAGGAAGTCAGGTAAGTGTTGAAGATTAATGCTTTTTCTTAGCTTTTTTTTAATTTTTAAAAAGTATACTTTATTAATGTACTCAGTAAAATGAAAATCTGTCAATACAGAACAAAATGATTTTAATAATATTTGTTTTTCAAATCGAATATTTGCAACCCATTCATGTTGTATTTTCATGAAGTACACGGTCGGTATTATTCCACAAGATTATTGTACAAGATGATCAGTAGCAGCTGGTATAAGTATTACATCCTTTTATTTAAAATGTTATGCCTGGGGCTAGGAAGGTGGCTCAATGATAAAGCGCTTGCCTTGCATGCTTGAGGCCCTGGGTTCGATTCCTCAGCACCCATAAGCAAAAAAAAAAAATCCGGAAGTGGTGCTGTGGCTCAAGTAGTAGAACGCTAGCCTTGAGCTGAAGAGCTGAGGGACAGTGCCCAGGC